TGGGCTGCTGGTGATGATGGTGATTACGATGGTGATGATGATGATGGTAACGATGGTGATGGTGAAGATGATGATGGTGATGGTGATGGTGAAGCTGATGATGGTGATGGTGATGGTGATGATGGTGATGATGGTGGTGATGGTGGTGATGGTGGTGATGGTGATGATGGTGGTGATGGTGATGATGGTGGTGATGGTGATGATGGTGGTGATGGTGGTGATGGTGATGATGGTGGTGATGGTGGTGATGGTGGTGATGGTGATGATGGTGGTGATGGCGACGGTGATGTTGATGATTGTGAACTGGAGAGCTGCGCTCCCAGGCCTGCCACTCAACATGGTGATGGCCAGAGCCTGGGCAGTGGGTGGGGCCAATGGTGGTGGGTGGGGCAGGGTGGAGCTGATGGTGGGAGGGGCCAAAGGCTGGAGGGGAGGGTGGGCAGGGCCAAGGGAGGAGCAAGGTGGGGGTAGTGAGTGGGGCAGAGCCGAGGGTGGAACTGGCAGTGGGCGGGGACAAGGCATTGGGGCCCCACCCCCTTTCCCACCTATGAACCTGGGAGGCTGCTGCACAGCTGTTCTGAGGAGCAGGGTCCCTGCTTGCTCCCCACACCCCTGGCTGAGGCCACTGTGGCTCCCTCAGCCCCCTCAGCCCCCTCAGGCTCCTCAGGCTCCCTCAGCCCTCTCAGGCTCCCTCAGCCTCCTCAGGCTCCCTCAGCCTCCTCAGGCTCCCTCAGCCCCCTCAGCCCCATCAGTGTCCTCAGGCTCCCTCAGCCCCCTCAGTCTCCTCAGGCTCCCTTAGCCTCCTCAGGCTCCCTCAGCCTCCTTAGGCTCCCTCAGCCCCCTCAGCCCCCTCAGCCCCCTCAGGCTCCCTCAGCCTCCTCAGGCTCCCTCAGCCTCCTCAGGCTCCCTCAGCCCCCTCAGCCTCATCAGTGTCCTCAGGCTCCCTCAGCCCCCTCAGTCTCCTCAGGCTCCGTTAGCCTCCTCAGGCTCCCTCAGCCCCCTCAGTCTCCTCAGGCTCCCTCAGCCTCCTCAGGCCCACTCAGCCCCCTCAGGCTCCATCAGCCTCCTCAGTCTCCCTCAGGTTTCCTCAAACCCCTCAGGCTCTCCCAGGCCCCTCAGCTCCCTCAGGCCCCTCAGCTCCCTCAGGCCCCTCAAACCCCTCAGGCTCCCTCAGGCCCCTCAAACCCCTCAGGCTCCCTCAGGCCCCTCAGGCCCCTCAGGCTCCCTCAAATCCCTCAGGCTCCCTCAAACCCCTCAGGCTCCCTCAGTCCTCTCAGGCTCCCTCAGCCCCCTCAGGCTCCCTCAGCCCCCTCAGGCTCCCTCAGCCCCCTCACCCCCCTCAGGCTCCCTCAGCTCCCTCAGGCCCCTCAGCCCCCGAAACCCCTCATACTCCCTCAAACCCCTCAGGCTCCTTCAAACTCCTCAGGCTTCCTCAGGCCCCTCAAACCCCTCAGGCCCCTCAAACCCCTCAGATTCCCTCAAACCCCTCAGGCTCCCTCAACCCCCTCAGGACCCTCCAATCCCTCAGGGTCCCTCAGGCCCCTCAGGCTCCCTCAAACTCCTCGGGCCCCTCAGGCTCCCTCAGGCTCCCTCAGGCTCTCTCAAACCCCTCAGGCCCCTCAGGCTCCCTCAGGCTCCCTCAGGCTCCCTCAAACTCCTCAGGCCCCTCAGGCTCCCTCAGGCTCCCTCAGGCTCCCTCAAACCCCTCAGGCCCCTCAGGCTCCCTCAGGCTCCCTCAGGCTCTCTCAAACCCCTCAGGCCCCTCAGGCTCCCTCAAATCCCTCGGGCCCCTCAGGCTCTCTCAGGCTCCCTCAGGCTCTCTCAAACCCCTCAGGCCCCTCAGGCTCCCTCGAACGCCTCAGGCCCCTCAAACCCCTCAAACCCCTCAGGCCCCTCAGGCTCCCTCAAACGCCTCAGGCCCCTCAGGCTCCCTCAAATGCCTCAGGCCCCTCAAACCCCTCAGCCCCCTCAGGCCCCCAGGCCGGGCCCTCCCTGGGCTCCTGGGCTGCAGCTTTCCCTGCCGAGGGGCTGCCAGGCCTGCAGGGTCATCTGACGTGGAGCTGCCTCTCAGCTGCGCTGGTTTGACAGGTGCGTGGAATATGCATCAGACGTCTCTCGCTGCCTCCTCGGCACAGAGCGGCCCCAGAGATGCACCCCACAGGCTGTCCTGGTGGCCGGAGACTCCCACACGGGTCTGGGGCTCTGATCACAAACCCTGGGGACCTTTCCCGAGGCTCCCACCGCCTGGCCCGCGGTGCTAGCTCCGCCTCTCCGCTTTTATGGGGCGGGGTTCCTCGGCGGGAAAGTCACTGAGGACTGGCGTGTTTTTACTCAGCCACGTCCAGCGAGTTGCCCACAGAATTAGAGCCCCCGCCCGCCCCGCGTCCCGCCCGCCACTGGGGCTTGGGGGAGAAACACCACGGAGGGCTCTTGGGAGCAGCCTTTGCCCTCACTGTCGGGCCCCTCCTCTGTGGAGCCACCAGGCGGGTGCCCTGGGCCTGGCTGCCAACTCTGGCCCCCCAAGAGCAGAGCCACTGCCGGCACGTGGCAGCGCTGGGCCCTCACCCACCGGCCACTCCGCCCCTCGCCGACGTGCCCACGGAGAGGACGGTCTCCGGCACCCCCCTCCCAGGGCCCGTCCACGGCACCCCTGGGCGAGGCTGGGGTCTGGAAGTGCCGCCCCACCCCACCTGCCTGCCGGCTGCCCAACGCCAACCAACCCCCCCAGCTGCGCAGACCCATCTGCGGCCTGCCCAGCCCCACCTCCACCCCGGCCAGGGAGTCTAGGGCCACGAGGCCCCTGCACGTGCCACCGACCAGGGACACTCCCTGTGCCTCAGTGTCCCCGCTGACGGAGGGGCGAGTGAGAGATGGTGCCGGTGCACCGTGGCCCGACCCTGGTGGCTTCGGCTGTGTGCATTGCGGGGGTGGCGGGAGGAGCAGGGGTAGGGTGTGGCTGGCAGGGGTCCCCAAGAGCCTGGCAGGCTCGCGTGGGGCAGGTGGCCCAGACCTGGGCAGGGTGCCCTTTGCCCTCAGCACTGCTCACAGCTGTGGCCCGGCTGGGGAGGGCCCGGGGGGGGGCAGCGTGAGCCCTACTGTGTCCAGGGCCTGGGCCGGGGGAACCTTTCCCTGACTTTCTTAGTAATCGACCCCTGGTTTAGCCAGCAGTTGGCACCCAGACGAGAACTTCACCTCCCAGTCTTAGGCAATGGGACATACGCAGAGGTGGCCTGTGTCATTTCTGATACTTGACCGTAAAGGGAGAGCCACACCCTTCTTTCCTATACCCCCTTTCTGTCAGCCGGAATGCAGGTGTGATGGCCTGACTCCAGCAGCCGTGTTGAACCACGTGTTGCCCTGCAGGAAGAAGGCAGGCACAGCAGAAGGCAAGACGGGAGGACGCAGGGCCCCTGCGGCACGGGGCTGCCCACGCACGAGCCCGGACAGCCTCTCTCTGGACTCTGGGAGGCCAGTGTGAGTATTTGGTTGTTCAGGATTTGTGTCAGTCACAAATGACTGGCTGGAGGCTAGGCAAGGCCGGAGCCTAATCCTAATTAGCATTAATCCTAATCCTAGGTGACAGTTCCTAGGGAAATTAAGAGAAATTTCTGGACGTAGAAATAAGGCGAACAGTTCAAAGACCACTGAGAGGAAGTAGACGATGCCCCTGCTGTCCGTTGGCCGGGGAGCTGGACAGGGGACGGGTCCCTGCCCCCGCAGCCAGGAAGCAAGCCTGAGGACGGGAGCCCGAGACCCTCGGGAGCCCCTGGGGTCCAAGCCAGCCACCAGCCCCCCCAGAACTGCAGAGAGCGTTGCGCAGGCCCACACCGCTGGGCCACGCCGGTGCCGCCGGGCTGCTCAGCCCTGCAGACTTCCCGTGGCGGCCCCCTGGCGCAGACCGGTGGTGCTGTGGGCGGTTGGCGGTGACCTCGGCAGCCGACCCCAGGGCCTGGGGCAGGAGACCAGCTGACCTGCAGCCTGGCCCGGTTCTTCTCAAAGCTCCAGGACACATGTAGCCCACAGAACTTTCTGGAAGCCTTGGGGCATGAAGGCCAGGCCCCTCTCTGCCCCTCACGCTGCAGAACGGGGTCCGGGAAAGGGCCAAGGGGAGCCACCGGCAGGGCGGCCATCTGGCTGCCCTGGTCACCACCTCTCGGGTCACTGAGCCCCGCAGGGCCACCCTCCCGCTCAGCAGAGCCCCGAGGCCGGGGAGGGCCCGGTAGGGAGAAAGTTCCAGAGGTCGGACGGCCTGAAAGCGTCACAGGCTCAGGCGGAGCCACAGCGCAGGAAGCCAGCGGCAGCCAGGCCCTGCCGGGCCTCCCGGGGGTGGGAGGCGGGTGGGCCGAGGGTCCCCCCAACCCTCTGCCTGCCGGGTGCCCGGGGCCTCTGCAGGGGTCAGGGGTCGGGACAGGAAGGAGGCTGAGGAGCGGATGGAGAGTGGCTGGGGCCCAGGACCCTTCCCAGACCGCTGGGCGTGGCCGTGGATCCACACCGTGGCCTCCAGGACGGCGAGAGTGAACTTCTGGTGTTTCACGGCACCTGGTTTGTGGGACTCGGTGACGCAGCCCAGGCCCCCGAGCGCCCCGGGGGTGCAGAGCGGGGTCTGGGGGTGCAGTCCAGAGGTGGGGGCCCATGAGGAGACCACACGCCGTCCAGGTTGAAGCACTGTGTTTTACTAAGTGCACAGGTCCACTGGGCGTCCGGGCTCGTCCCCGTGGCAGCAGAACCTCCCAGAACTTTCCACGTGCAGCCCCGGCGTGGGACCCCACCCCCGAGCCCCCCCTCCACGACCCACCTGGCCCGTTCTCGCGGCGCGAGCGTCAACCTGTCCGCGTGGGGCGAGCTGCTATCTCGGCTAACCCATTAGAAAACTAGAGTTCATTCCCTGGGCGTCTACCCTAGACAACGGCAGTGCTCGGGGCGGGGCGGCGTGACGTCCACCGGCGGAGGCCTGGCCACTGGTACACGGAGCGTACAAAACGGTTAAAAGTGCACGTCAGTACTGAAGGCATCATGAAATATTCTTTGGAGCATGAACAAAAGTGCAGGCAGCCAAGGGCGACAGCGTGGGCGGGGCGGCTGCAGCCGCCGAGCGGCCGGAGGGCGGCGGCCGCAGTGGGCGTGGAGTGCGCACGATCCCGGGTGTCCGGCGGGCTGGGGCTCGAGCCAGTGAGACACTCCTGCCCCGCGCTGGTCCCTAGAGCTGGTCCCTCGCCGCCTGGTGGGGGCGGGGCCCGGGGGTCCGCGCCTGGCAGAGGGGCGGGGCCACCCCAGCGAGCTCCCGTCCACGACATGCGTTAAGGCAGCGACTCTGAGACCAGGTGGGACTGGCCCGTCCCCTCCTCTCCAGCACCCGGCCAAGGCCCAGACACCGAGGGTGCTGAGGACGGGACCACCAGCCAGCCAGGGGCACCCAAGGCAGGCGTCCAAGACTGGAGCTCGCTTGACCCTACATCTCACCCCACAAATGCCTTTAAAAACTCCAGGGAGGGCCGCCCTCCCTTCTCCTCCTCCCTCTACCCTGTTTCCTAAAGGCTCCCCGCCACCCTCGCCTCCCCCGGGGGCTGCCGTCCCCCTGACCCTCACAACCAGGTTCCGAACACCGTGAGGAACAGGGGACAGCAGCCTGGGACAGCCACACGCTCCCCACGGTCACCCTGGCCTGCAGGCCGCGCCGGCCCAGCCCTCCACCCCGCGACCCAGACACACGCCCGGGAGTTTGCACGGGGGCAGGGGTGAAGGGTCAGAGGGCAGGCCGTCCACGCAGGCGTCCGACCCCCTCCCCCCTACGGGCACAGGCAGAGCCCTGCTGGGATGCCCGGAGCCCCTGGAGCCCCCCCTCCACGGCGGGTCCTGCTGTCCAGACCGCCCGTCGCAGCACGCTGTCCCGTGGCTCGTGTCCTCGGAGGCTGCTGGAGCGTCGTCCTCCCGACCCCGAGATCCGGGCACCTGCCTGGGACCCCACTCCGCACTGGATCTGCCACTCAGGTGAGCAGGAAGCGCACCGAGACTGGCCTAGGGTTTCCAGAAAGTTCTCCCAGCCCGTGGGCTCCCGGGAGCATCTAGAACTGCCTCTGGGCCCAGCTCTTCCCGTGGAGAACGGGGTGCTGTGTGTGGGGAGTCCCCTGGACGTGGGGGCTTCCTCCGCCTCCCTCCCACGCCAGCCCCCACCAGCCTCCAGCCCAGGGAGGGGACAAACGGAGACATTAGACTTTCAGGGCATCCGGCTGGGGACTCTCCTCGGGGTGGGGACTCGGGGGACGGGCCCGTGGCTTAGGGGCCACTGGGGAGACGCCCCCACACTGCCAGCCCCCTGGTGGGGGTTTGAGATGAGGCCCCCAAAGGCGGGGGTGTTGCTAGGGGCCGCTGTGGCCTCCCGTAGGGAGGGCCCCGCACCTGCCCGCTAGGACCGCCGTGTGCAGGACAGGGACGGCCACTCCCGGGCCCAGCGCGGGCCGTGGGGAGGACGCCGAGGGCCTCGACTTCACCTGGACAGGAGAGGGGGATGCTGGGCCTGGAGACGCTGATGGCGGGTGGGGACACAGCCGGGCGGGGCCGGGCATCTGAGGACATGGAGCCACCGGTGCCCCAGGGCCGGCCGGACTCCAGGACGCCCCGGCCCCAGCCCAGCCGCTGTGCACTTGGCAGACCCCACCCTCTGCATGGCTCCCGTGGACCCTCTGCCTCCGCCGCCCAGGAGCCCCGGACAGCCAGAACCCCCACCCCAGGGCTTAACGCTCCAGAACCCTCCGCAACTCCTGGAGTCAGCACCGCTCCCTTCCAGATCCTCCAGCACCGCAGAGATCAGAGACAGAGGACTGCCAGGGCCGGAAACGTGGCGTGTGCACACGTGTGTCAGAGTGCCTGTGAGTGTGCATGTCAGAGTGTGCCTGTGTGAGTGTGCACATGTGTCAGAGTGCCTGTGAGTGTGCACCTGCCTGTATGTGCATGTCAGAGCGTGCATGTGAGTGTGCAAGTGTCAGTGTGCCTGACTGTGCATGTGTCAGAATGTACACGTGTCAAAGTGCCTGTGAGTGTGCACGTGTCAGAGTGTGCATGTGTGTCAGAGTACCTATCTGTGTGTACGTTTCCAGAAGTGTGACTGTGAGCGTACACGTGAGTATTGTGCATGTATCAGACTATACATGTAAGTATGCACGTGTCAGAGTGTGCCTGTGAGTGTACATGTGTTGTGCATGTGTCAGACTGTACATGTGAGTATGCATGTGTCAGTGTGCCTGAGTGTACATGTGTTGTGCATTTGTCAGTGTGCCTGTGAGTGTGTACATGTGTATCAGTGTGCGTGAGTGTGCTCGTGTGAGCATGCACATGAGACAGTGTGCCTTTTAAGTGTGCACGTGTGTGTCAGAGTGGAGTGGGTGTGCACACATGTCAGAGTGTGCCAGTGTGGGTGTGTGCACCTATGTGCTTGCATGGGTGTGTGGTGAGCGTGAGGGTGTACACGTGTGCAGGCGTGTGTGAGCACATGTATGTGCCAGTGGGCACGTGGGGATCGTGCTCTGGGGAACCTCTGCCACCCTGCTGAGGGGGCACTGGCCCTCGGCCACTCACACGCCCAGGAAGCGCAGACACGCCTTGCAGCAGCGTCCGGCCTCCTTCCCGTGCCCTGCTCTGGGGTGCGGAGCCGGCGTGGCTGCACCCTGCTCAGGCCAGGGGCTCCACGCTGGGCCCCAAACACCGGCAGACGCGCCTCCCTCCTCCCACAGGACGGCCCGCGCTCCTCGCCCTCCCGCTGCAACCCGAGGGAGAGGCTCCAGCCTGGCCCGCGGGCAGCTGGGCTTCTGGGAGGGCGGGGGCCGGGCCACACTCCGCGCGGAGCCCCGTGTGCCCAGGAGCTCCTGGTACCCTGGGGAGGAGGCTGCGGAGCACACGCGGCACGGGGCGGGGACAGCACACAGGCCTCCCGCCCAGGCCGGAGTGGGTGTGGGGAGGGCGGGTGGCTGGTGCTGGGTTGGTCTGGACGTGCTCAGCGCCCCCCGGGGCTCCCAGCTGGAGCCTCCCCGAGGGCAGCAAGGCTCAGACCACGGGAAACCCCACAGCGTCCTCGCCGGAAGGGGCTTCTCACCGCCGAGACCCCGAGGCCGCTCCGCCACTGGGAGGTAGGTCGGGGGCCCTGGCCAGGGTGGGGTGGGCAGGGGGCTGCAGCAGCGGTGAGCTGACCACCATGGGAGGCAGACACAGCTCCCCAAAGACCCCTGGGCACCCAGGACCCTGAAAGCCGGGGCGTGTGACCCTCACATGCTGCTTTCGAAGCTCTTCCTGCGGCAGGACGGCCCGCTCACCACGAGGCCCCCAGGGAGGGCAGACAGAGCGGGGGTGGCGTGAGGACGGCCGAGGGCTCTCCCTGGACGTGGTGTCTGCCCTGGCCCACCGCCGGGCAGCCCAGTCCCCACCCGCAGTGCTGTCACCCCACATGACACTGACGCTGAGGACCAGAATGGGGGGCAGCTCTGCCCCTGGGGGCTGGGTCCACAGCTCCGCTAAAGGCTGCCCTGAGGGCCCAGGATTTGGTGGCACGTCCCCTGAGACCCCGAGAAGCCACAACCAAGGGACTGGTGGGTGGAGAACGGGGCAGGGTCAGTGAGCTCCGGGGAAGACAGGAGGGAGAAGCCAGGCCCCCAGCCAGGCTGAGTTAGGGGTGACATCGTCCACCCACTGCACGGCCCAGTCCTGTCGGGGTGGGGGACGGGCCAGGTGGGGGCCCCGGCTAAGAACCGTGAGGGTCTGGGTGAGTCTCGTGGTGCTGGCCACAGCCCTGTGACCTGTAACCACCACCCAGCAGGGGTGGGCAGAGCGGAGAGCCACGGCCAAGGCCACAGGAGCCCCCACGGACCCCCTTTTGGAGGAACCTGCAGAGCCAGCGCCCCGGAGGGTCCGAGACTCACGCTGGGCTCCGGTTTGGTTCTGAGGACCCTCCCCCTCCTCCGCCACAGGCGAGGGTCCCCCCCGTAGGCCCCTCCCCGAAAGACCCCTCAGAACCCAGGAGGGGCGAGGAGAAGACGCTGACCAGCAGCTCTCAAGCTGAGCGCCCAGGAGGCAAGAGGGCTTCACCCCGGAGCCCAGAGCGAGCAGAGGTGGGACCCAGGTGGCCAGGGCTGGCCACACCCCCTGCAGCTGCCCTCGGGGCTCAGCACCAGCCCCAAGGCCACCGTCCGTCCCCAGCTCTGCCCCAGGCCCCGCACCCTCGCCCCCACGACCCAGGGCCTGTGACCACTGCAGCCCCACGCTGCTCTGCCCCCACCCTGCGCCGGCGGGCAGGGCGGCCCTGCTGCCACCACACATGCTCCTGGGGCCCCGGGGCCCCTCCCCACACCCCTCCAGCACTATGGGGCGTTGCCGCGGGCGCCCCGTCCTCGGCCCCCACAAACCCCACACGCCCCAGTTTCTCTACAAAACGGCCCCGCCCCGGGAGGGTTCCCGCCTAAAACCTCGGCGGGGGCGGGGCGTCCTCGGCCTCACTTCCGGGGCCCCGCCCAGCCCACGTCTCCGAAGGGGCCCTCGCCCGTGGCGGAGCGCGGTGGGGGCCCGCAGGGCGTGCAGAGGTCCGAGTCCGTGTCCGACTCGCCCTCCGCGATGTAGGGTCTGACTTTGGCGCAGGGCGCCACGGCCGCGTAGCAGCTGGTGAGCGCGTCCAGGTTCTCCTTGGACTGGGAGATGCTGAAGCCGCTGAAGGAGCGCTCCAGCTCCTCGTGGTCCACGGAGGGGATGGAGATGGACGTGTCGCTGTCCCGCAGGGCGCCCTCGTGCGGCCGGCCCGCAGGCGCGTCCTCCTGCCGCAGGAACTCCGTGCTGGCCCGGCTGCCCCCGCCGTAGGCCGACAGCGAGCGCTCGTGGGCCGGCGGCGGCGGGATGCGCACCAGCGAGCCGTGGTCCCCCACCGGGGAGGTGCCGTGGCCCTGGCGCCCGTGGCTCTGCTGCCACGAGGTGGAGGGCGGGCACTGGGCCGCAGGCGCGGCTGGCGGCGCCGAGAAGTTCTTCTGGCCGGTGGAGCTGGTGGAGCGCACGATCTTGATGATGCAGCCGTGCTTGTCCGCCTGCTCCCGGCTGTCCTCCGGGCTGTGGTACGGCGGCGCCGGCTCCGGCTCCTTGGCCCCGAAGTAGGCCTCGGTCTCGGTCGGGGGGATGCCCATGCGCTGCATGTAGATGCTCACCAGGAAGTCCAGCTTCTTCTCCATGGACAAGACCTGCAAGAGGCGCTGCTGGGCCTGGCACTCGGGGAGGGCGGGGGTGGGGCTGGTCTCCGGGGAGATGCGGGGGGTCCTGGGCTGGTCCTCAGGGAAACATGGGGGGGTGTCCCGGGTGGTTCCCTGGGGAGACTCGGGGGGAGTCCCAGGCTGGTCCCCGGAGAGATATGGGGGGGCTGGGCTTGTTCCTGGGGAGACATGGGGTCCCAGGCTTGTTCCTGGGGAGATGGGGTGGGGCCAGGCTGGTTCCCGGGGAGATATGGGGGGGCTGGGCTTGTTCCTGGGGAGACATGGGGTCCCAGGCTTGTTCCTGGGGAGATGGGGTGGGGCCAGGCTGGTCCCTGGGGAGATATGGGGGGGCTGGGCTTGTTCCTGGGGAGATGGGGTGGGGCCAGGCTGGTCCCTGGGGAGATATGGGGGGGCCCAGACTTGTTCCTGGGAAGACATGGGGGTCCCAGGCTGGTCCCCGGGGAAATGTGGGAGGGCCCAGGCTGGTCCCTGGAGAGACATGGGGGGGGTGTCCTGGGTGGTTCCCTGGGGAGACACGGGGGTCCCAGGCTGGTCCCTGGGGAGATATGGGGGGCAGGCTTGTTCCTGGGGAGACATGGGGTCCCAGGCTGGTTCCTGGGGAGATGGAGGGGTCCCAGGATTGTTCCTGGGGAGACATGGGGGTCCCAGGCTGGACCCTGGGGAGATGCAGGGGTCCCGGGCTGGTCCCTGGGGAGATTCGGGGGTCCCAGGGAGATGTGGGGGGTCCCGGGCTGGTCCCAGGGAGATGTGGGGGGTCCCGGGCTGGTCCTGGGGAGATGCGGGGGTCCCAGGCTGGTCCCTGGGGAGATGTGGGGGGTCCCAGGCTGGTCCCAGGGAGATGTGGGGGTCCCGGGCTGGTCCTGGGGAGATGTGGGGGGTCCCGGGCTGGTCCCAGGGAGATGTGGGGGGTCCTGGGCTGGTCCCTGGGGAGATGTGGGGGGTCCCAGGCTGGTCCTGGGGAGATGCGGGGGTCCCAGGCTGGTCCCTGGGGAGACGTGGGGGTCCCGGGTCGTTCCCTGGGGAGATGCGGGGAGGAAGCATGCTCCCAGGAGGTGGGGTGCAGGAGGAAGCCCCAGGGAGCTCAGCATCTGACCCCACTGTCAGTGTGTGCCGCGGGACGTCACGCCACGAGGCCCCTCGTGTCTGGGCTGCCCCTGCTGCCTGCTGGGCGTCTGCCGTCAGGGGTGAGGGGACGGCTGTCCCTCACCCCAGCCCAGGCCAGAGGACCCACGCCAGGCACGGCTGGTGGGGGTCAGGCTGGAGGGCACCAGAAAATGGCCAGCCAGTGTGACCCCCAGCAAGCTCCCTGGGGACCCCCCAAGGGATGCGTGAATGCGAGCTGTGCCCGGCAGCTGCCCCCACCCGGGCAGTGTGGCCTTGGGTGCCGTTGGGAGGGAAAGCACCTGAGCCCAGCGGTGACCCGCAGTGGGATCTGAGGTCTGGCAGGAGCAGCCGCAGCTGGGATGGGGCTATGTGTCCCTGGGGCTCAGGACCGCCCACCTGGACTCTCCTACCTGCCTCTCCACCTTCCCGAGACGCCCCATCATGCTGACATCCTCCGGCAGCTCTGCCTCCGCTGGGCCCTTGGTGCGGTCCTTGTCTGTGATGGCCGGGCCCCGCCCCACGATCTGGTCCACTCTACCGGGAACAGAGACCCGCCCCCACGCATGAGTTCGGGTGGGTGCAGCGGGGCCCTGGCCCTCTCCTCCTGGGCCAGGCCCAGCCCAGAGCCGGCTGGGGGGCAGCGGGTGCCAGGCCAGATGGACAGTGGTGCCTCCGTGTCACCCTGCACTGACACGCTGGGGTCCTGTGCCCCGCCGTCCTGTCCCAGGGAGCTGGCACATTCTCGAGGAGTAAAGTGACAGAGCCCCCACCTGGGTCCAACCCCACCCGGCTCCTCCTGGGGCTCCACCCCCACCGCCTGCCCAACCTGCCCGCCAGCCCCCTTCCCCGGCTGGGGCTTGGAGGCCCAGAGGGTCACGTGAGGGCTGGCGGGCGCCCAGCTGGGCCGTGCCTGAGCCACACCCACCCTGAGCTTTACTCCCACGCAATGTGCCACCACGGCGCTGCCCACCCGGGTTGGCGGGATGGAGTCAAACGTCTACAGCAGGAACAACAGAAGCGGGAGGCGGTGAGAGCCACGGCTCCATGCACCAGGACGGGGCATGGGGGACAGAGAGCAGCACAGAAACCACCACGCACAGACCGGGGGAGAGACGAAGCCACTGCCAACCAGAGAGGTTGTAAGTGTGCATGCGTGTTCACACGGATGTGCATTGCACACATTCATGTGCATGTGTTTGTGTGTGCGTATGTGTGCACATGGGTGTGTGCACTCGTGAGTGTGCTGTGTAATGTGTGAGTATGCATGTTTACACATGTGCATGTGTGTTCACATAGATGTGCACTGCATGCGTGTGTGCACATGGTGTGTAGAGTAGTGTATGATACAGCGTGTTGTATACATGTGTGCACGTTGTGCACATGTTTACACATGTGTGCAGGATTCAGAATTCGGCTGAGCTTCTCTCCAACAAGGTGGCAGGTCACCAGTGACAGTGAGAAGGGAAGGAGGCTCTTCGCGGGGCCGGGGCGTCTGTCTGACCGGCGTGGCATCCACAGATGCACACGGCCCCGTGGACGGGAGGCCCTCGTGGGCGGGCAGGGGCCACGGGGTGCTATGGGCTGAGAACTCGCTAGAAGCAAAGGCCCTGCACTAAGTCTACAAGCCCAGCTGGGGGAATGCAGCTCGAGACGGGTGTGACCGGGCAGGGCGACCCAGGCGAGGTCCCGTCTGGCTCTGGACTGCAGCCTCATGCGTGACGTGCACCACGGCGGCGCCACACCAGCCAGACAGGGCCACACCGACCTGCCTCCGACGGGTGGGGGAGGGTGGGATGTCAGGCTTGCGTCAGCCACGCTGCAGCCCCTCATGCTGCACTGGGCGCCATGCTGGGCTCATGCAGGGGCCGGGCGGCGGGTGGGGGGAGCCGGGCTCGCTGGTGTTCCACGTGTCACACGTTCAGGCACAGACGCTCGGCACCTTCACCCCTGCCACATGACGGGCCGCCACACTCGGTCCCACGGGAGCCTGGAACAAGGGCTGGGCCTGGAGCTGCCGCTGCTGGGGCGGGGACAGGGTCCTCTGAGACCCTGGCCACCTCCTGCCTCGACACCCTGGGTGGGGCGAGTGCCTGGACGGGCCTTCCGCCCTCCTCGGTGCGAATATTTGCGGATCTGCATGTCCCCTGCCAGGGCCTCCCGGCTCCTGGCTCTGCGTGTGCGGCTACATCCCTGCAGCCATGCCCAGAGCACGGGGCTTCAATCTCAGGGCACTGCGGACACCCCTGGGGACTCCCCTCTCACGGGCAGAGCACCGGCTCGAGACGTCGGCACCCTGACCCCCGCACACAGCGCTCTGCTCCTGGGGTGGCAGTCGGGTGGTGGCGGCTGTGGTCACCCTCCACGCACTTGCTCCCACCACGAGCTCTGCGCCCACTCCACCAGCAGGGCCCCGCGTCCCCCCTGCCAGCCACGCTGCCTGGTGACAGCAACTGGAGCCTCGGGGCCCGGTGGGCGCCGGTGGGGGTCTCGTCTGCCTTCACCGTGGCGCAGGAGGCCGGCGCTGCCACTGGCGCCCCTCGCCGTACGGAAAGAGCTGCAGAGGCACTGTGACCTGCTTGGGGCCACACAGCACCGAGGTCGACCCCAGCGGGGCGCTGGCCTGGGGGCCACCTTGACGGCCACCGCCCTGCATCTGATCCTGGAGGAGCTGCCCAGGTGGGTGTTGTGGGCGGCGTCCCTGAGGCCCCGCCGAGAGGGTGCCTGGGCCTTCCCCGTCCTGACACCGCTCACGGCCTGCCGGGCCCTGGCCCAGGAGCAGAGAAAACCCCGAGTCCCCTGTGTCCGTGGAGAGAGCCGTGGGGTGTTGCCGTCATGTGGCCTGGAGCAAAGGGCCGGCCATTCACAGAGACAGGCGGGCGCGGCGCCAGCGTCCTAACCTAGGCGAGTACTGGGGCGACTCTCGCGGAGGGGCGGTGGGTCCTTTGGTGGGGTACTTCTTGTGCCGGGGAGTTGAAGGGGGTGGGGGGCCCACAATCATATCTACCCTGGCAGAGCAAACAGAAGAGAGACCAGCAGATGCATCGTGAGAGCAAACGGGAGGGACGGTCGGCGAGAGAGGGGCAGGAACGGAGGAACACCCCACCCGGACCGCGCGATGCTTTGCGGAAACACGGGAGGCGGCGGCACCGCGCCGGCCGGACCTCGGAGAGTCTGCAGCAGGGCCGTGTGTGCCCCAACGCGTGCCTTGGCGTGACCTTCCCGTGTCGCAGGCAAAGCATTTGCCTCTAGGAGCTGGGCGCCGGGCGCACGCGACCGGCAGTGGTACGTGGCGGGAGCCCAGGGCCGGGCGGCGCCGACTGCGGGGCGTCATCTAACGCAGCGTCAGCAACTGACAGCAAACGCCCTGCGCCCCTCGGGTTGGCCGACTCGCTTTGTTTGTTTTCCCAGACAGAAAAGGAAGGAAAAGGGAAACTGAGGACGGAAGATCCTGGAGAACAAACACGGCCAGGTGGGAGATGTGGAGGCACCCACGGCAGTCGCGACCCGGACACTCTCGCACGCGCACACACCGCACACGGCTCGCGTCAGCCCACGCTCTGGGCGCTGCGCCAGGCAGCGCAGGGGCCCCCACGGGCAGAAGCGTGAAACCAGTTCAGGAGCAACTCGTAACAACAACCGCATGGCCTCCTTACGGGTACCGCAAACACACAAGGCGTGTGAGGTGCTGTTCCATGTGGCTGAGGATGCACACCTGTGAGCACATGTGTGTGGGCTTACGGGACACCTGTGTGTGGGCACCAGGCTAGGCGTGGATGTGTGTGCACACGTGCATGTGGGGTGGACATGTGTCCGTGTGTGCACACTTATACATGCCTGTACATGCGGATGCACATGTGTGCATGGGTGTGCTCAGGCCCCTACTTGTGTGTGTATATGTGCACACATACACGACTCTCGGAGTGAGCAGGTCAGTTCTCACACACGCAGGGCCGACACAGAGGGGCAAGTTGCGCCAGCTAACGCGAGCCTTGGACACGCATCCCACCCGGCGCCCGCTCAGGAGGAGGCCTCCCCTCCAGAAGGCGCCACGCGACACGACTGCTGCCTCGTGGAGCCCACGGAAACCCTGCAGCTTCATCTCTCAATAGAACTACTCCACTTCCAATGCACATGCACACGTGTCCACACACATGTATGCATCAATACACACGTGCATACATGGCACAGCACACAGGGTCACAAATGCACACACCCACACATGTGCACACACACGGGAGCACATGTACATACACCCATGTACATGCACATATTCAGGGACCCACCCACATGTACACTCACATGAGTGCATACATGTGCACACGTGTGTGCATGAGCACACACACACACTTGCCCACACAGTGTGCGTGGGGGAGACAGGAGAGACAACAGAAACATTAAAAACAGACAGACGTGAGGACACCACAGAAAGCTGAGGAGAGCCCTGCGCGCCCGCCCACACCGGCCCCCTCGGGCGCTCCCCATGCAGGCCACGCCTGGGCTCTGACCCAGAGGCCCTGCCCGCGTCCCGGGCCAGGCAGGCAGGTGGCGGCTCTTGCCTGGACTGCAGGCTCTTGATGCGGGACAGCATGTCCAGGTGGCCGGCGGAGTACTGCTCGATGACGTCCATCACGTCGTACGGCCGCAGGCTCTCCTTGAACTTCCGCTTGGACACCAGGAACCGCATGACGCTGCAGGGGTGAGGGCAGGCCATGAGCCCCAGCCAGAGACACCGGCCACACGCCCAGGCTGGCTCCGGCGTCTCCGAGGTCAGAGCCCGGGGAGAGGGAGAGGGCCGGACCACCGGCCTCTCGTCTGGGCCACTCCTGTGGTCTCCTGGCCGTGGGGCAGGCACAGCCCTCCCTCTGCAGGTCACCTCCGCGCCGGACGCAGGTGACGTGAGCTGCTTCGTCAACAACGAGGAGCCGGACTAACGGGGGTGCCAGCCTCGAGGCCCCGTCCCCAAACCGCCCCCCAGGGCCTGCATGCCGGGAAGAGTGGACCCCGGAACGCCTGGCACGGAGCCGGTGCCGTGAGGCCTGGCACGGGTGCCCACGAGGGAGGCCTCTCTGCGCCCAGCCGCGCCATGCGAGTCCTCACCACACGGCTCTGATGCTGACTTTGAGGCCCGGGGTCAGGTCCTCGGTCACGAACTCGCAGTTACAGCTCTTGTCATCCACGATGTCCTCCCCCGGGAGACTTGCTTCTGGGTGGAAGGAGACAGACCTTGGGGGGGCGCACGGTACCTGGGGCGTCATGCCTGCGGGCCTGCAGGGCATGCTCTCCAGGCGGGGCGTCAGGGGGCCCCCACGCCCCCCAGGCACCCTGCTGGGCGCCCCTCCCGTCCCAGAGACCCGCCCCTCTGCCCAGTCCTGCAGCTGGTCCTGTGGCCAGGACCTTCTCCGCAGGCTGTGGCCAGAGGGTGGCCGGCATGAGGGTTTAAAAGGGCATCCCTGCCAACTGATAACAGGTGCCCAAAATGTGACGTCGCCACACAACAGAACCATGGCACACGCCACAGCGCAGATGAAGTGTGGCAGGCCACACTCAGTGAAAGGAGCCACGCAGCGGGCCACGCGTACGGTCCCACTCACGAGAGGCACCCACGAGACTGGGGGTGGCTGGGGCTGCAGAGGGGACGGGTGACTGCTAATGGGCACGGCTTTCCTTTGGGACGACGAGAATGTTCTGGAACTAGACTGGGGCGATGGCCGCACAACACTGAAAGCGCTGAACGCCACTGGATTTGCGCAGCGGGGTGCCACGGCCACACCCACCTTCCGAGTCCTGCCGGGACGCGGCACCCTTGATCCGGAAGGCCTGGCGCGCCCGGCTGCGGTCCCCGAAGCTCCAGCTCTTGGGCACCTTGCTGGGGCTGTCCTCCAGGCTCTGGTCGGCGCTGGGCGAGCGCCGCACGGTCTGGGCCTGCGGGGACCCCTTCCCCTTGGCAGCCACGCCTCGGGGACTGGAGAAGACACGGTCTTTCAAACTGACCTTCTGGCTGCTCCCGCGAGAACCGACAGACAGACAGACGGACACAGAGAAACAGCGAGAGGAGTCACTCTGGCAAGAAGGCGGCTGGGTGTGCCGGCGCCCACTCGGACCACGCGGGGGAGGTGCCGGACCACGGCGGGGGGCGGCGGCGAGGGACCAAGCACAGGGGGAGGGCGGGGAGGGCGGCGGGGGTGGGGACAGCAGACGCCCATGGTCGGCAGGGAGCGCGGCCGTGGTGACGTCTGGGGACTCTCTTTCTGAGACAGGGTCTCGCTCTGTCACCCAGGCCATGTGCAGCCCCGGGCTCCAGGGACCCTCCCGCCTCAGCCCCTGAGCAGCTGGGACTGCAGGACTGTGACTCTCAGACTACTTCCCGCTGCCACTGCCTGAGCCTCCTCATACCGTCCTGCCCACCAGGTGACACTCGGCAGAGCAGTCCCCAGACGCCGGGGCAGTGGCCCTTCCCTGGGCACCTTCTGTCTGCCGGGCCTGGCGTCTCTGCCCTGCCAGCCCTTCCACCTCCTCCTCCACGCGCCTCCAGCCCCTTCTTGTCCAGCCCCACCCTGGGCCTTTCCCACCACCCCGGGAGCCTCCTGGCAGGAAGGGACTTCCAGGAGGCTGGGGCTCCCCATGTCCGGGCTCCACCCACAGCAGGACATGCGTGCACCGGGAGAACCAAACGCCCGTGGCGGGAAGGACGGACGGGTTGAGGCTGGCCCCGGGGTGGTGGGACTGTGGGGGCCGCCAGGCCCACGCAGCAGAGTGAGGCTCATGGCTGTGTCCCGCCAGGCCGCTGTGCCCACGTTCCTGAGGGTCCTCGGGCCTCCCTGGCCCCACGCCCACACACTCCAAGGAGACAGGATGGTAGAGCGTGGCGGGCGCCAGGCAGGCGTGGCCTCCCCGCAGTCGGGAGAGCTAAGGCCCTGCTCCCTTCCTGCCGCCAGCCAGTCTGAGCAGGCCACGAGCGCTGTCCCTGGCCGTGGACAAGCCTGAGGTGGTCACCAACGCCGCTTCTGGGCCCCACCGTGGCCACGACGGCCAGAGAGACACGCCCACCACACGGCGCGGAGAAGAGAGCCCACAGCACCCGCCCACCGGCCCAGACACCGCCACGGGGTCAGCGCCCTCCCCAGCCCCTCCCCTGGGCTGCTGGTAACTGGTGGGACCGTCTGCCCCAGCTCAGGGGTCTCTCAGAGGGAGAGAGAAGCCCCTGGGAGGCAGCTTGCGGCGTGGCCCGGTCGGGAAGGCAGAGAGCGCACCGGGGAGGGTCCCGGACCCCAAGACATCCTGTGTCCCGGGAGCGTCTGGACCTGGTGGCACCTGCTTGCTCAGGACACGGGAGGAGTCCTCGCCTCTGCGCCCTGCCAACCTTGCCTCTGCTCCCCGCCTGCCGCTGTAGGATGGTCCCTGCCCCAGCAGACCCGCAGTGGCGGACACCCTGGCTCTGGAATGTTCTCTGCTCCTCAGCATTCCCACCGCTCCAGAGGTGGGACTCTGCCCTCGCCCGGCCGGCAGGCGGAACCGCGCAGCGTCACCAGTCTCACGGCCTGACCACGAGGGGCGACAGAGACACGCGCTTCCCTCCGACCACAGCTGACAGGCGCGGGGGGCGGCGCGGCGGCTCAGCCTGTAACCCCAGCGCTCTGGGAGGCCAAGGCGGGAGGGTCGCTCCAGGTCAGCAGCTACCAACGAAACAAGGCGTGCGCGGGAGAATGGCACGGCCGCCACACCCACTCCCGGCTGCCTGCGTCTAGGAATTGCCACCTGACGGGGAGCCGGCGGTGTGGACCCAGTGAGCCGGGTGAGGAGGGCAGAACCCCAGGGCCTGTCGGGAGCCGCAGGAGGGGCTGCAGGCGAGGCCCGCGGGCCGTCGCGGGAAGAGCTGGACGCCGCCGGTTGCCTTTCTAGCAGCCAACCCTCCCCGCGAGAAGCAGCAGCCCCGCCAGGCCGGGCGCGGGACTCTCCCCTCGGGTCTCCAGGGAGGGGCCCCCCAACGCCGCCCGGCCCAGGCGGACGCGGCGCACGCGCAGACGGAACCACCGCGGAGCCCAGCCTGGCCCGCCCCCAACTCCGGCCCGCGGGAGGCTCTGCGGCTCGGACACGCCCTGCCCGGACTGCGCAGCCGCGAAAGCTCCGCGCCCTCTGAGCGCCCCCCGACGCCGCCCGGCCTGACTCTTCCCCAGCGTCGGGACCTCGGGGAGTCCGGCCCACAAGCCAAGGACAAGCACGCGCGGGGCAAGGCTCTCCCGGCCCGGCCGCGGCGCTCACCAGAGCGCGGGCTGTGCGCAGGGGGCGCCGCGGCGCCTGCACCGGGCGCTCACAGGGGTGCGGCTGGGGGGAAGCCCGGCCCGGATTGCGATCGTCACGCCGGGCGCCCCGGTCTACACAGACCTGCCCGGCCCTGTCTGGACGGACGGAGGCCCTGAGGGCGGGGGGCGGACGGGCACCCGAGAGCCCGCGCAGGCAGGCAGAGCGTGGTCCGGGTCGTGCTGCCCTGGGCTGCGGCCGCCCCACACTTGCACCCGTCCGGTCCCTAGCTGGACCCCAGCCCCTGCCCGAGGGACCAGCCTTGGCCAAAGCACCGTGGACACAGCAGCTCTGGGCAAGCAAGACAGCGCCTGCCAGGCCACGCAAGCTGCACCTCCCACGCGGGCACATGCGCTCGCCCTTCCTGGGGCCTCAAACCGTCTCCCCCACGAGCAGCGGAGGACGCCACACGGAGACGTGTGGGAGGGGAGGCTGCCGCTGGGGGGAGTCCCGAGCATGCACGGACACAGATGCACAAGCGCAGCCGAGCCGGGCCTGCCACGGCGCCGTGCTCCAGGCCAACACACGCGCATGCGCGCATGCATACACCCCGCATATCACGCGCGGTGCCCACATGTTGCCAGCTGCACCTGCTGCGAGGGAGGGGCCCCAGAGCGAGCAGGACGGGGGCGGGGAAGGGGGACGGGTGCAGGCAGGGCCCTCAGTGCATGGGCAGCCTCCCCACCGTCCCGCCCCAGCCTGTCCCACACCAGGCCTGGCAGTTGGAAGGGAGAGTCCAGGCCTTGGCTCTCTGGGGTGTCTGCTGTGTCGGGAGGAGCTGTCCTCCGCGGGCAGGGCGGCCGGCAGGGCGCAGCCATCCTCAGGCGTGCAGGAGAGGTGCCAGGACCAGCCCCACAGGAAGCTCGGGGAGAGCAGTCGGGGACCCCAGGGGCACAGACGCCTTGCTGGGCCCAGAGCCCTGGCCGGCCTCTCCTGCCGCGTGCGGGCATCACCTCTGCCCAGCTCTGCCCTGCTTCTGCGGCATGCCCGGGACCAGCGGGCACGGGGCACTCCACCGCCAGGGGCTGGGGAGGCCGAGCTGCCGGTCAGACTGGGGTTGGGGCGCCAGCCTCCCCGACTCTCCAGAACCTCTAACAAGCAGGGAGGAGCCGTGCAGCAGGGCCAGTCCGTGCGGCGCGTTCCGTGGTACCTAGAGCGTCCAGGGCAGCATCCACACGGGGACCCTCTGCACGGTCTGCCTTTACTGCAAACGAGGAGAGCACAGTTAGTCCTGGGGCGCCGGCAGTGGGACGTGACCAGGGAGAGGAAACTGAGGCACGCCACCCCCTGGGGTGGCTCCTGGACACAGAGCTGGCATCTGATCGAGGATAGAGGGGAGGGTGTGCCAAAGTCATCGTGGCCTGGAAAAGAAAACAGCCCCCTATTTTTGAAGGAAAAAGGGCCCTGATTTTTTCCCTCCAAAAATATCTTTTCCTTCCAAAGCCACAGCTGGGGTTTGTGTCTTCAAAGACGTATTATTTTTTGCTGTATTCATGCCAACCAAAAAATAATACGTGGGCTAAGGCCTCGCAAAGGGCTCGCTTGGGATGGACGCGGCCCCGGGCGGGGACTGGGGTGGAGCGCGAGTTGCCGGGGACATGAGCGCAGTCTGCCTTGCGGGCCAGTCGTCGAGGCCACGCCACAGCGCAGGTCCCTAGAGCGCTGGGCCTCGGTTCGCCCACAGCGGGAGGGGAGCCCCAGAGGGCTGGGGTCATGGCGGGGCTGTCCGGCAGAGAATGCACCTCCTGCGGGAGCCGTCCCCCAGCACAGCCCGGCACTTCCCTGGTTGCCGCAGGTGTTGGGCGTTTTCCAAGAACCTCCCTGGAAACCCCTGAGACTTATCTCTGCATCAGAACGTGCAAATTTTAAGGCAAAAAAATGGAAATAAGCGGCAACTACAAAAACGCTCCCTCTTCCTCCAGGCCTCTCCCCACCGTGGCAGGTGTTTCCTCCAAGATGGCTCTTCTCAAACTATGCACCAAGGAACCCCAGTGAGTGATGGTCTCTCCCGGGAAAAACGAGCTCCAGGAGGAAAGTGCTCGACGTTCCGTTTTCCTGCTGTGTTTATTTAAATACCCGTGTTCCCTGCTGCACACTGTCCGTGTGAGCATCTCTGCACAAAGCACACACCCTGCTAACCCTGTGAACGGGCGCTGCTGCCTGGACCCCTACCCCGGCGCGGCGGCTTCCGTGCCCCATCTCTGCGACGCAGGGCAGAGGCTGGACTCCATTGCCGGCTAACTCGCTATTAGTAGCCCGATGTCTGGCCCAGGCAGGAGTGCTCCCTCAGGGAGTGTGCTCCCTGGAGACACTGCTCCCTCAGGATAGCACTCCCTTGGGGAGAGTGCTCCCTCCATGAGAGTGCTCCCTGGAGACAGTGCTCCCTTAGGACAGCACTCCCTTGGGGAGAGTGCTCCCTGGAGACAGTGTTCCCTCAGGACAGCACTCCCTTGGGGAGAGTGCTCCCTCCAGGAGAGTGCTCCCTGGGGACAGTGCTCCCTTGGGGACCTGCCCCAGCGCCCTGGCTGCTCCAGGCCAGTCACACCAAAGCCTGCCCGGCACCCCCAGGGTCCCCAGGCCCAAACACAGCCGCCCCACCCCCACCCCCGGCGAAGGAGCGGACGGCAGGCAGAGCCCATGGCTCCCCGAAACTGCAAAGGCCCCAGTTTAGACCCCAGCACAAAGACTTTGCCGAAGAAGCACCTCCCGGGACCTCAAGGCCCCATTCTGCGGAGGGGAAAGTTCCACAGCCACACGGTCGGACGTGGTGGCCACGGGCCACGCCTGGCCAGGGCACTGGAGACCCAGGAGTGAGTCTCCAACTGCACTGCGATTGTATGAGCGAGGACTTCGGCAGCCACGTGTGGCTAGCGGCCCCCACATCACCTGACAGCCAGACGAGAGCCACCGTGCCCCCAGCACGACCTGCCGCTCTGGGCTGGGGCTGGCGCTGGCGCCTGTCCTCCCCGTCAGTCCCGCCAAACCGCCAGCGGGCCTCCAGCCGGGGCGGGGGGCGGACAGGCCCACGGGGTCCTGGGCCCACGGGAGTGGGGGGCAGAGATGCCCACAGACGCTGACCGAGACCAGCCAGGACGGACGCACCCATCCCCGCGGCCACCCCGCTGTGAAGGGCAGAGACAGACACGGCGTCTGGGGCTCCTCCCGGCTCGGGGACAGAGGCCGTGAGAAGCACGACACACAACAGAGACGTGGCAGCCACGAGACATGCACGTGGGGCAGCACAGGCTGCCCTGACCCATCCAGCATGGGGCCCCCTGGACCCCACTTGGCCGGACCGGCGGGCTTGGGGCCAAGTGAGGGCCCTGCACCCACACCACTCACCTGACCAGACCAGCCGGCCCTGCTAGGTGGCTGCAGGCCCCACGTAAAAGGACAGAGACCAGCGTGGCCTCTGGCCCCCACGGGTAACTGTGCCTGGCGGGCAGCACGGTGGGTGCGGGGGAGCCCGACCCTTCAGCACCCCACAGAGCAGCCACTCAGGGCCACACTGGCCACTCCCTGCACACTGACCACATATGGAGACACGGTTCTGACCACCCCAGGCCAGGGACGGGGATGCCGCCCGTTACCTGGCTACGGGAAGCCCCCCAGGACACAGGGGTCTTCACTGGCACAGACCACTCCTCGGTCCACGGCACCCAGGTGCCTTCCGAAGCCTCGGGCCGCCGCGGCTCAGCATAGCTGCGCCGTCCCGGCTGAGGGGGCCGGAATCGTGGACTCGGGCGTCCGGGGAGGGCTGGGGCGGGCGGGTGCGGCCCTCGGGGAAGGCGTGGGGAGGCACAGGCAGGCAGGGACCACTGGACACGCGGGAGGAGACGGGCAGGCAGCGGGGAGCCACGGAACATACCGGAGGGCCCGGAGGCCCCGCGTGTCCTCACCTGGAGTTGGCATCAGGCCAGCGCCTCCTCCCCACCACAGAGCAGACGAGAAAGGGGCCCGAGAAGGGCAGTGACGGGGAGTAAAGCACTCGGGGTGGCAAGGGTGTCGGGTGGGGTGGGGGCAGGAGGGAGAGAGAGAGAGAGAGAGGCTGAGACCAGCGCCATCGCCTGCTAGGCTTGGGCGGCAAGCACGAGACTGCCCACGCAGACCGCGGGGCTGCACGCGGGAGCCCCGGCCGGGGTGGGGCGGCACGGAGCAGCAAGAGGAGCCCCCGGGCCTGTCCCTGGCCTTGGGCGTCCCCCCAACAGCAACACTGAGGCTGGCACCCCCACCCCCAGCAAGCGCCGGGACTTGGGCTCTTAACCGCGCCTGCCACGCCGAGGGCTCCCGCTGGCGAGCGCTGGCCCAGCTCCCCCGCTCCGACACTGGCTGCTCGTCGCTGGCTGGCAAAGCGTGGCCCATCTGTCCATTCCAGGCACGACCCTGACCCCCCCCCCGTGGGGGCTGGGGGCCTGGCCCGGCTCCAGTTCCGTCCCCACCCCCGGCCCGTGTCTCATCTGAGTCCCCAGAGCAGGGTCCACTGGGGAGGGGGTATGGGCACCCATCCTGGCCGAGGTCCGGGGGCCGATTTGGAGGACAGGGGACCCCGCTCAGAGAAGCTCGGGAACTCGCAGGGGGAGGGAGGTCCTCAGACTCGAACTCTGCGGAATGCTCTGGATTTTGTTTTTAATGCTAAGAAGACGGCAGAGTGCTGCTCGCTTCTCCACCCTGTCCCTGACTTGCCTGCCACTCTCGGGACCTGGGAGGCCAGCGGGGGATGGGGAGAAGGAACCGGCTTTGACTCGGCACCTCCACGGAGCGGACACGAGGCGCAGAGAGGACGCCTGGCCCTCCCGGGAGCACGATGGGCCCCGAGTCTCTCCCACTTGCTCTGGAGACTGTCCACAAACTCGGGGTGTCCCCCCAGCCCCGGTTCTCCTCCCCACCCCGCCAGTGGCCTGGGCCGCGTGCCTGGAGTGGAGGGGTGCTCTCGCAGGATCCTGGTCCCAGGGCTGGCTCCTGGGCGGCGGGAGGAAGCCCACCCAGGAAGCCCCCGGCTGCCCCTCCGCAGCGCGCAAAGTCAGCCCAAAGCTGGGGCGGGCGGGCAAGTTGGACTCCCCGCGGGCACAGCCCCGGCCCGCACGCCAGGTGCCCTGCAGCCCCCACGGCAGCCGCCGCCCCGCGACACGCTGCGCACACACAGAGGAGCAGGGCCAGAGAGACCGACGGGCGTGCACACGCAGACACACGGCGGCCGGCCGGAGGCAGGAGGCACTGACCTTGGGGACGGCTCTGGCTGGGGCTCCTTCCTGCGAAAGGAAGCGGCAGAGTCAGCAGCTGCCGCGGGCAGCCCCAGGTGTCCTCCGGCCCACGCCCACCCCAGGCCCTGGGGATCGGCTGGGGGAAGGGCAGGTGCGGAAACGGCTGCCCGGGCCGCGCTGACCTGAAGGTGAGTCCCGACTTGCTCTTGAGGCTGCGCAGCAGCTCCAGCTGGTTCAGCGGTGGGATCAGCCTGGCAGGAGGAGGCCACAGGTCAGCGAAGACCTGAACCCACCCTCACCGGCGCCCACAGCTCACGCAGAGCAGCAGCCGTCACGCGTGGGGCATGGCGTGGCCAGGCTCCGTGGCAGCCCCCACTCTCCCGCCCCTGGCAGCCCCGTGACCGCAGGGCCGGCAGAGGGGGTGAGCCGGCCGAGACCCCGGCCCGGGCAGCCTGGGCAGGCAGAGGAGGGGCACAGCCGGGGGCGCCCTCCCCCATCCCCCACCCTAGACGTCCCCAGGGCAGCACCGCTACAAACAGCACCCAACCCCGCAGGGACCCCAGCCCCTCTCTGCCGTGGGCAAGGGACCTGGCTCTGCTCCAAGCCCCCTTCCCTGTCCCGCTCACGCCCCCGCCCCCATCACCCCCACCCCAGCCCCAGGTGTCCTCCCTGAGGTGCAGCCACACCTGGCCCCTCGTTCCCGCTGCCCCAGAGGGACAGTCCTGGGGACTCTGCACCCCGTCTCTCCCGCCCCCCCGCAGGAGGGCGCCATGGGCCGGGACTCGGGGGGCCGGGACCAAGGAGGAGCCCAGGCACTGGTCACCTGGCACCTCGGGTGGGGCAGAGCCCCGCACGGGCCAGTCTGTCTGGAGGGGACAGCCGGCCACCCCCAACTCAGGCCCTGGTCAGAGACACGCGACATCAGCCCTCAGCCAGACGGAGGTCACGGAGGTCACACCTCAACACGCAGCAGCAGCACCGGACAGACAGGCCTCTGGCCGGGCCACGGCACGGACGACAAGCCCTGGCCGCGCCAGGGTGTGACGTGCCAACAACGGAGGGAAAGGCGCCTTCCCGGGGAGGGCAGCGGCTGGTCTGGGGTCAGCGGGGGTCTCTGCACATGTTGGGGCGTCTTGTTTCTGAGTGTGTTGGGTGGCCAAGGAGCCCGACCAGCCGCTGCCCGGCACAGCAGCCCCTTCCCTGCTGGGCTGGCGGGGTTAACGCTCCGACAGGTCCCCAGGACGGGCGGGGGGCCGCGTCTGCCCCCCAGGACGAAGGGTGGCCTGGGGAGGAAGTCGCCCCACTTGTGGCCGCCCCACGCCGTGCAGGGCTCTGCTTGGCGCCGTCACGGGCACCAGCCCACCCAGTCCGAGGGAAAAGCCCTGTCCTGTCTGGGCAAATCGCCCCCTTTCCGGCTCGCAGGCCGTGGGGGGAACCCCCAGAGGACACGCTGAGGGGGACAGGGACGAGACAGTGAAGCACCTCTGCTCCCTGGCCTGGGCACCCCCTCTTGGTGCAGTGGAAAGACTCGGGGGGCTCGAGTCCAGGGAGGGGGACCCCAAAGCCGGGCCCCAGAGGTGAGCTGCCCAGGGCAGGACTGTCACTGGCACGGGCCGTGCCTTGCGCCCGGATGGCCCACCGTTCTCGCTGGGCCTGTAGGTGGGCGCTGAGCTGGGGGGAGGGGGCACAGCTACCAGGACAAGGCAGGAAGCAGGACAGGACCAGAAGACAGGACAGACGGGCCCAGCAGCGAGGAAGCAGCAGCTGAGGGGGGAGCGGGGACACGGGGCGGGGGGGGGGCACGGGGGCTCCAGGCAGGGCGGGCCGCGGGGTGGCAGGCCTGGACTCCAGCACGGGGACCACGCGGGGCACGGTGCAGGGTGCTGGGGGGCGGGGAGCCGGGCCACGGGCCCAGACAGAACGAGAACCACACACACGGCGTCCGACCCATGCATCTCCTACCTGGAGGCCCCGTAGGTTTGAGTTTGTGAGCTTTCAAGTGTTTTCACACACACACACACAGAGGGAAAAGAACGGAAATTTTTTTAAAAGAACAGGATAAGGAAAAGAAAATGAAAAAAAAAAATAAAAAAGAGTCAAGGAAAGTGGGGAAACAACAGAACAAAGAAAATTAGCAGGAGGGTCACCCTGTCCCCAACCCTAGGCTGGGAGCGGCCAGCTGCACGGAGCACAGCTCGTGGTGACATTAGACGCCCACATTTCCGGGACAGACGGGCGCGGCCAGGCTCTCGAGGCTCTGCCTTGCGGAGGTGTGGGGGGGGACTGATGCCAAGAGAGGGGCCGGGAGGCCCAGAGGGCGACTTGGATGGCCGAGGACCACCCAGGACTCAGCACCCTCCTCCGGGGAACGTCCCACTACGGAGGCAGGAGGAGTGGGGACGCCTCTGGCCTGTCCCACCACGGCTGACTGCAGGACCCTTAAGGGGACACCCCCCAGATGCCTGGAAGTCCCAGCCAAGCCCTACACCAGCCCACCCTCGGGACGGCTCAGGACAGAGACACCCCACTGGAGCAGGGCAGGGACCTTGGGGCAGCAGGTGGAGGTGGCGCCCACCCCAGGGGACCCTGGCCTGGGGCATGGGGACCCTCAGCACCTCTCACCCCAGACCAGCTGTACAGAGACATCTGGGGGCTGCCACCCACCCTCGAGAAGCAAGAAACCTGGGACGCTGCCCTGTGGCCCTGCAGCTCACCTGGCCGGTGGGCACTGCCTCCCCCCACGGCCCCCCGAGATGCTCTCTGGGCCCCTCCTCTGTCACCCGGGGCTCCTGGGGGTCTGTGTGCTCAGCCCTGCTGGGGGCACCTGGGACCCTTGGGATAGCCCTGTGGGTGCTCCAGGGTCACCTCCCCCCCAGCAGCCCAGGTCTGGCAGGAGGTCGCAGTGACCTCCCACCTTGCGGGGGGGGGCTGCAAACCCGCCGGGGTCTGGAGGCCTCGGGGAGGGGCCCGTCCCGGCCCCACTCGCGCAACCCCAGCCCAGGAGCGGAAAGCAAAGGGCGGGGGATGAAGGTGAGAAACACAAGCCGAACGCTGAAAAAAACAAAGAAAAAAATCAATACCTCGAAATAAACCACACACAGAATTCCTTTTTGAAATATACATACATTTTAAAGGAAAAGAAAATCAACTGATCAAAATGATGAACAACAAAAAAACGGGGTTGAAGAACAGATGGAAAATAGAAAACACAACCGATGGGCCGTGGCGGGGGCTGGCGGGCCCGGCGGTACCTGTACATGGGCACCGTGACCGTGCGCTCGTAGTACTGCCACGTGGAGTGCAGGTCCGTGCGCGACAGGTTCGTGGCGTAGAATCTCCAGGCCGACTGCGAGAGAGACGAGGAGGGTCGGCCAGGGTGGCCGGAGCCACCCCGCCCCACCCGCGACCTTCTGCCCCGGACCCCGCAGCCTCAGTCCACCCACCACAGCCTCAGTCTACCCACCGCAGGGCAGATGGGCAAGATCCCGGCTGGAAGGTGGGCGTGGCTCCTGGGTGCAGGAGGCTGTGGTCACGGAGGGGGAGGAGGGTCGGCCTCCATCCTGCCAGTGGTGAGCGGTGCCGGGCGCGTGAGCTTCCCCGGACGGGGGTCAGGGAGGGCACCGAGCACAGCTCGACCATAAAGCCTGCAGTTCTCACTGACTCCACTTCGCCTGGTCTCTGTCCCCTACTCTTTTTTTTTGAGACAGAGTCTCACTCTGTTGCCCAGGCTAGAGTGAGTGCCGTGGCGTCAGCCTAGCTCACAGCAACCTCAAACTCCTGGGCTCAAGTGATCCTCCTGCCTCAGCCTCCCAAGTAGCTGGGACTACGGGCATGCGCCACCATGCCCGGCTAATTTTTTCTATATATATCAGTTGGCCAATTAATTTCTATTTATAGTAGAGATGGGGGTCTCGCTCTTGCTCAGGCTGGTCTCGAACCCCTGACCTTGAGCAATCAGCCCTCCTCGGCCTCCCAGAGTGCTGGGATTACAGGTGTGAGCCACCGCGCCCAGCCCTCACCAACACTTATTTCCCATTTTTTAAAATTTTTTGCCGCCCAGAGGTGAGGAGAGGTGTTGTACTACGGTTGTGACGTCCACTCGCCGTGACCACGACAAGAGCACCTTGTCCCGTGTCACTGGCCACGTGACTTCTCCTTTGCGGAGACTCCATCAGACTCTTGGGGCTGTTTGTGCTGCTGAGCTGCTAGCGTTCTTCATGCATGCCGAATGCGAAACACGTCCAACATGCACGGCTAGTGAATGTGTTCCCCCACTCCGTGGGCCGTCTTTTCAGTCTCCCGAGAGTGTCCGTTTCAGGCACAAAAGTTTTTCATGAAGGTCAAGTCCGACTTTTTGTTTTGTTGCTTGTGCTTTTGGTGTCATAGCTAAAAACTCAAGATCTGGAGATCTGCATCTGTGTTTCTCTTCAAGATTTTTATAGTTTTAGCTCCTACATTTAGGTTTCTGATCCGTTTTTAATTTTTGTATGTGGTGTGAGGTAAAGATCCAACTTCATTCTTTTAAAAACAGATATCCACTTGTCCCGGCGCCAGTGGTTGGAGAGGCCGATCCTTCCCCACCGGATGGACGCAGTGCCCGTGTTGAAATCCCCTGAGTACAGATGTATGAGGTTATCTCTGGACTCTGAGTTCTATCCCATTGATCTGTATGTCTGTCCTTATGCAAGTACCACCTGTTTTGATTACTGTAGCTTTGCAGTAAGTTTGAAATTGGTAAGTGTTTGCCCTCCAACTTTGTTCTTCTCTTTCAAGACTGTTTTGGCTATGCAGGGGCCACTACAATTCCTTATAAATCTTGGAATCAGCTTTTCCATTTCTGCAAAAAAAAAAGTGGGCATTGGGATTATGATAGGGATTGCATTGAATCTGTAGGTCAATTTTTGTTAAGACTGTATCGACAAGATTAAGATTCTTCCAATCCATGAACACAGGATGTTTTTCCATTTATGTAGTTCTTTGTTAATTTATTTCAGCCATGTTCTGTAATATGGTTTTCAGTGTACAAGTTTTGCACTTCTTTGGTTAAATTTATTCCTACATTCTTTATTCTTTTTCACAGAATTGTAAATGGAATTATTTTCTTAATTTTCCCTCTATATAGATTGTTCCTTGCTGATGTACACTGATTTTTGCATGTTCATCTTCTATCCTGCAACTTTGCTGAATTCATTTATTAGCTCTAACACTTTTATGTGGAATATTTAGGATTTTCTGCGAATGAGAAGTCACCTGTCAATAGATAGTTTTACTTCTTCCTTTCTCATCTAGATGTCTGCGTTTTGTTTTGTTCTGAGTTTTTTCCCCCTGCCTAAATGCTCTGGCTGAAACTTCCACATACGAAACATGTAAATACTAAATACTAAAAACGTCTAAATACTAAATATTTCAACAGAAGTGGTAAAGCTGTCATCCTTGTCTTGCTCCTGGTCTTAGGAAGCATTCCGTCCTTCACCACTGAGCACGACGATGGCCCCGGTTGCTCACGGACACTGTTTGCTGTGCTGGGGAGGGCCCGTCCTTCCCCAGTTGTTGGGTGTTGTCGTGACAAAAGGCAGCTGGATTCTGCCAAATGCTTTCGCTGCGTCAACCAGTCCTTCACTCTCCTAACGTGACATCGTGTCAAAATGGCCAACTGCTCGTCTGAGCCCGAGGCATTCTGCGATCGATCCCACGCGGCCATGGTAGACCCTGGGTAGCCGAGGACTTTGCACCCGTGACATCTACACTTTGCATCCATAACGTCTACAGCACACACTGATCTGCAGGGTCGCGATGTCTGTGCGGCTTTCTTTCAGGGCTGAGTCGGGAAGTGTCACCTCCTGCCTTTTGGAGGAGTTTGAGAAGAACTGGCATCAACCCTCCTCTGAATGTCCGGAGTGCGCAGTGGGGACGCCGTCCGGCCCACACTTCTCTGCACCGGGAGGTTTCGAACGTGTGGCTCGATCTCCGTTGGGTACAGGCCTGCTCACAGGATGTGTTCCCGGAAGGAACGCGGGCGGAGACCCCGTCTGCAGACAAGGAGCTGCCCGAGACGGCACACGGCTGGACGGGACGGGGCCGCCAGCACTCACCTGGATCAAGCCTGCAGCAGGGTTCCGCCTCTTCTCGAAGTGCTTCTGCCGATGCTGTTCCTGCACCTTCAGGGCAAAGCCCGACCCCAGGATGCCCTGCAAGGCGTCAGGCAGGTCAGGCCGAGACCCAGCCCCCCTTGGCAGGGCCAGGCCACGTCCCAGGACCCACGTCCCCCCCTCGGCAGGGCCAGGCCACGTCCTGGGACCCACGTCCCCCCTCGGCAGGGCCGGGCCATGTTCCGGGCCCCAGGTCCCCACGGCCACCACGGTCCGTTGCCCAGGGGCTGCACCTCCCGACATCACCCCTCCACTTCCTGGAGAGCAGACTGGGAGAAGCCCAACATTTGGGGTCAGGGAACCCCTGGGCTGCAGGAGACACAGCGGGACCCGCACAGACCCGGAGAGGACACTCGCTCCCTGGCGTGTGCACCACCAAAGCCGCCCTGAGATGACGGCCCCACGCCAGCCCCACGCCAGCGCCCGTCGGCCCTGCCCTGCTGCACGGGACGGCCCCTCCTGCCTGCGATGGCCCCCTGGTCCCCTGGAGACCGGAGAAGGCCTGTGCCGCTGGGCAGTGGTGCTCCGGCCGGGATGACCCCACCCTACAGCCCCTCCCGACGAGGAGCAGCCACCAGTCACCCACAGGGCAGCGGAAGCCACGCCGTGGCCCTGGGAGCGATCCTGGGGCCCCGGGTGCCACCGGTGCGGGGCTCGGGCCTCCAGGCCAGCGGCACGACCCCGTCTCCCGCAAAGGCAGACGGCGCAGGACTCACCGCCGGGAGAGCGAAGAAGGAGACGCCGATGAGGGTGAAGGTCGCCGCCAGGAGCCTCCCATTCCAGGTCTGGGGGTACTTGTCCCCGTAGCCGATGGTTGTCAGGGTGATCTGCGGGACGCGGGCTCTGGTCACACGGAGCTTGCTGCACCCCGAGGGCAGGCTGGACGCCAGCCACCCACCTGGCCGCCTGGGCGGGGACAGACGTGGGCCACCTCCTCCCACCTCCACTCGGGCCTGACGGGGCCGGGGTCAGCGGGGCCGCCCTCCCACTCTCAGCCCCCAAGTCTCTGCCCTGCCCCACGTGGCAGAAGGGGGTCACCCCGAAGGCTCTGTCCCCATGTCACTCCCAGGAGAACCAGGAGAGCCAACGATGCAACTCGCACAGGAAGCACCACGGCCACCAGCGGGTCCCACCCCGACCAGCCACCCACCCTGGGTGTGGCCCGTGGACCTTGGAGTCTGGGGTGGTCGCGCCCCAAGGGACCCAGAGAAATGGGAGGGAGCTGTGCAGGGGGTGCCACATGCTAAGCCGGCAGGGAGGGAGGGGCTGGGGGAGAGACCGGCACCTTCTAGCAGAGAGCCCGGCCTGGGGTGGCAGGAGGTGACGGGGCCGGCCTGGGGTGGCAGGAGGTGACGGGGCCGGCCTGGGGTGGCAGGAGGTGACGGGGCCGGCCTGGGGGTGGCAGGAGGTGACGGGGCCGGCCGGGGGGTGGCAGGAGGTGACGGGGCCTGGGGTGGCAGGAGGTGACGGGGCCGGCCTGGGGGTGGCAGGAGGTGACGGGGCCGGCCGGGGGGTGGCAGGAGGTGACGGGGCCAGACTGGGGTGGCAGGAGGTGACGGGGCCGGCCGGGGGTGGCAGGAGGTGACGGGGCCAGACTGGGGTGGCAGGAGGTGACGGGGCCAGACTGGGGTGGCAGGAGGTGACGGGGCCGGCCGGGGTGGCAGGAGGTGACGGGGCCAGACTGGGGTGGCAGGAGGTGACGGGGCCGGCCGGGGTGGCAGGAGGTGACGGGGCTGGCCGGGGGTGGCAGGAGGAACTGCCTGGGCACTGCTGCGTGGGGTGGGAGGGACAGGCTCTGCTATACCTGACCCACTCGGGGCCCCCAGGATAGACTGGGGACACCTCCTCCCCCTTGCCCCTCTGGTCCCCGGGAGCGAGGGCAGAGCAGGTGGGTGGTCAAGGAGGAAGGACAACAACCCGCCGTGGCTGGGCAGAGGCTCCCGGGGCCCCAGCCCCTTCCCACCTGCACACATCGCACTTCCAAGACCACGGCCTTGGCCGCAGCCACCACACGCCGTCACGGCCACGGGCAGCCAGCAGGTGGCGCCAGAGAGACGCATGCAGCCAGCTCAGCTGCGGGAGCCCCAGGGCACAGGTCCTCAGGGCCAGGGCAGCAGGGGGCAGTGACATCTTCCCAGAAGGGGCAGGACCCAGGGACCAGGACTCACCAGGCCCCACCACAGCGCGTCGGCGTAGGTGTCGAAGTGGTCGTTCTCGCCCTTCTCCGCCAAGTACACCAGGAACGACGCCAGGATGAGGCAGAGGAAGCCAATGTACCAGGCAGTGACCAACTCCTGCGAGACAGGTGGGGCCACGTCCGTCCAGCCCCGGGCACCGCGTCCGTCCAGCCCTGGGGCCACGTCCGGCCAGCCCTGGGCCCCTGCTCCTGGCTCCACGCATGGGGCCAGCGGGGGACTGGCGCAGCGGCACCGGAGGGGCCGCCAACTTCGTGGTCCCAGCCTGGGCAGCCCCTCCCCGTGATCTCAGCCTGGGGACTCCAGCTCACGTGCCCGGTGTCCCCCCAGGCTCTGGGAGCGGCCGGCCCTGCGCACCCTGCTCACCTTGCTGTGGGCGTAGACCACGGAGCCCAGGAGCTTCCAGGTGCCGCCCCTCCGGTCCATGCGGATCATCCGCAGGATCTGCAGGAAGCGCAGGCTCCGGAGCGCGGACGTGGCGAAGACGTTGCCCTGGGAGCCCGCGGCCAGCACCGCGATGGAGGCGATGAGCACCATGATGTCTGCGGAGACGGCGAGGGGCTGGCGGGTGCGCACAGGGGCCGGCGTGGGGCCGGCGCAGTAGGGCCCAGGCAGACAGCTCGACCGCCCACCCCCGGGGTCTGGGATGGCCTGCCCGTCCTCCTGGCCTTAGCCACGTAGCCACGGGCTGTGCCTCCCAGCCAGCAGGTGAGAGAAATTTCCAGAAGGTGCTCCTGCCGTCTGGCCCACCCTGGGACCCACCCCCTCGGGCCTCACCGATCACACAGAACGGCTTCCTGGCGAACTTGAGCCGGCCCCGCCAGCCACGGTACCGGCAGCAGCAGCCTGCGGCCCAGATGCGCACGAAGTACTCGACACCGAACACCACGATGGTCACGATTTCCTGTGGGGAGGCCGCGGCTGAGGCCGCCTGGACACCCAGCAGGCAGCTCCCGCCCAGGGACAGCGAGGGGGCCCCCAGGTGGGAACCGCAAGCTTGGCCCGGCACCCCCAGACGGCCTCTGAGGACCCGGCGGCCACAAGAACACCTGGGCCTGAAGACCACTGGGGTCCACCCGCTTCACCCTCTTCCGAGCTGGGGATCCTGTCCTGTCCGAGACAGGGGGACCCTGTCGGAGCTGGGGGTCCTGTCCTGTCCGAGATGGGGGGACCCTGTCAGAGCTGGGGGTCCTGTCCTGTCCAAGATGGGGGGACCCTGTTGGAACTGGGGGGACCCTAACCAAGCTGGGGGTACCATGTCCAAGCTAGGGGACCCAGTCTGAGCAGGGGTAGGTACACAGCAGGGCTGACCCAAGGGAGGTGTCAGGTCACTGCGAGGGGGCAATCTCTGCCCAGAACAGAGGGAGCTGCATTCCTGGGGGGTCCGTCTCCCTGAGCCCACACCCCCGTTACCAACAGCAGCACAGAAATCACACTCCCGTTGCCATGGCTCCCGAGTGTTAACGCAGGTTGCTATGAGCGTCACAGCCCCCCAGTCTCATGTCTGCAGGGAGCACCCCATACCTCCTTTGGGGTCCCATCTGAGCCTTCCGGCTCGAGAGGAGAACGGGAAAGGGGAGCTGGACCCACGGGGGGAAGGGAGTGGGCCAGGCAGGTGGGTGCTGTGACATCACAAGGAGGGGCCTGTGGTGCCACCACGGGGTCCCTGTCCTAGAAGTGGGGTTCAGGATTGGGAGGCCCTGCATCGGGGAGGAGCAGGGTTCAGGGATCAAGAGGCCCTGCATCGGGGAGGAGCGGGGTTCAGGGATCAGGAGACCCGGCATCGGGGAGGAGCGGGGTTCAGGGATCTGGAGGCCCTGCATTGGGGAGGAGCGGGGTTCGGGATCTGGAGGCCCTGCATCGGGGAGGAGCGGGGTTCAGGGATCAGGAGGCCCTGCATCGGGGAGGAGCAGGGTTCAGGGATCAGGAGGCCCTGCATCGGGGAGGAGCGGGGTTCAGGGATCAGGAGGCCCTGCATCGGGGAGGAGCGGGGTTCAGGGATCAGGAGGCCTTGCATCGGGGAGGAGTGGGGTTCAGGGATCAGGAGACCCTGCATCGGGGAGGAGCGGGGTTCAGGGATCAGGAGGCCCTGCATCGGGGAGGAGCAGGGTTCGGGATCAGGAGGCCCTGCATCAGGGAGGAGCGGGGTTCAGGATCAGGAGGCCCTGCATCGGGGAGGAGCGGGGTTTGGGATCAGGAGGCCCTGCATCGGGGAGGAGCGGGGTTCAGGGATCTGGAGGCCCTGCATCGGGGAGGAGCGGGGTTCGGGATCAGGAGGCCCTGCATCGGGGAGGAGTGGGGTTCGGGATCAGGAGGCCCCGCATCGGGGAGGAGCGGGGTTCAGGGATCTGGAGGCCCTGCATCGGGGAGGAGTGGGGTTTGGGATCAGGAGGCCCCGCATCGGGGAGGAGGCACAGCCGGCTCACCAGGATGTACAGGGCGCCCTCCGAGCTCTTCTCGTACTCCTTGATGGTGGAGAACACGGACAGCACGAGGCAGGAGAAGACCAGGAGGAACCTGCAGGGGAGGGAGGGCGTCAGTGCCTGGCGGGACCGGTGACAGGGACCTGTTTTCTGGAAGCGGCACGCCCCACCCCCGCCCCTCCGCGAGCCAGCGTGGGAGGAGCAGGACACCCCAGGACCCTCCAGGGCCACGGCCTCGGTCAGCTGCCCCAGGGCACCCCCTCCACCTAGCTCTTCCCGACACCGGGTGCTTTGGGAAAGTCTCCGTACTCCAGCAGGGAGGGAGCTACGCCTGCCCGGCATCCAAAGCAAAAACAGGAAAATGAGCAGAACCCGGAACCCGCAGCCCCTGCCCGGCAGCCAACGTCTGACCCCTGCTCCTGCCTCTCCTCACGCTCGGCGTTTCCTCTCCACACGCTCAAGCGCAGAGCTCGCTGACTGCACCTGCTGCTCAACCACAGGACTCCTCCCACCACCTGCGGGCCTCGCCCTGGCCGCTGGGAAGCTCAGCTGCCCCCTCTCCGAAGTGGCAGGAGCCTCGGCCCCACCAGCCACGGGTTCCCGCCAGTTTCTGTTGGCCATCCTCCCTTGCACCTGCTCCCACTGACCCTGCGCCAGCTCTGCCCTCAAGGCTGTGGCCACACCAGGATTCCCCCAAATGCTCTGACTGTGGGCCACACAGCCTGCTCCATACACCTGCCTGATATACCTGTTCTGATACACCTGCTCTGATACACTGGGTCTGATACATTGGGTCTAATACACCTGCTTGATACACCTGCTCCAATACACCCGCTCGATACATTGGGCTCTGATACACCTGCTCGATATACCCAGTCTGATACTCCTAGTCTGATACACCTGGTCTGTTACACTGGGTCTGATACATTGGGTCTAATACACCTGCGTGATACACCTGCTCTAATACACCCACTCGATACACGCAGTCTGATACACCCAGTCTGATACACCTGCTGATACACCTGCTCGATACACCAGTCTGACACACCCAGTCTGATACACCTGCTCTAATACACCCGCTTGATACACGCAGTCTGATACACCCAGTCTGATACACCTGCTCGATACACCAGTCTGATACACCTGGTCTGACACACCCAGTCTGATACACCTGCTCAATACACCTGTTCTGATACACCTGCTCTGATACACTGGGTCTGATCCACCTGCTGGATACACCTGCTCTAATACACCCAGTCTGATACACCCAGTCTGGTACACCTGCTCTGATACATCTGCTTGATACACCTGCTCTAATACACCCAGTCTGATACACCTGCTCAATACACCTGTTCTGATACACCTGCTCTGATACACTGGGTCTGATACATTGGGTCTGATATACCTGCTTGATACACCTGCTCTAATACACCCAGTCTGATACACGCAGTCTGATACACCTGCTCTGATACATCTGCTTGATACACCTGCTCGATATACCCAGTCTGATACTCCTAGTCTGATACACCTGGTCTGTTACACTGGGTCTGATACACCCGCTCGATACACCAGTCTGATACACCCAGTCTGATACACCTGTTCTGATACACCTGCTCTGATACACTGGGTCTGATACATTGGGTCTGATATACCTGCTTGATACACCTGCTTGATACACCTGCTCTGATACACCTGCTCGATATACCCAGTCTGATACTCCTAGTCTGATACACCTGGTCTGTTACACTGGGTCTGATACACCCGCTCGATACACCAGTCTGATACACCCAGTCTGATACACCTGTTCTGATACACCTGTTCTGATACACTGGGTCTGATACATTGGGTCTGATATACCTGCTTGATACACCTGCTTGATACACCTGCTCTGATACACCTGCTCGATATACCCAGTCTGATACTCCTAGTCTGATACACCTGGTCTGTTACACTGGGTCTGATACACCCGCTCGATACACCCTGGCCCCACCCCAGACAGCCACAGACAGGAGGTGCCCCTCCCGCAAGGCCCCCGCCGTGGGAACCTGGCTCCCGGCCCACGACAAGGCCGCCCACAAGCGGCCTAGACACGCGTGATCTCGCTTCCTGGGAGGAGCGCTGTGTGCCGCAGGCCGCAAGCTGCCATTTGGCAGGAAGTCCTCGGTGGGAGGGCAGGAAAGGAACTCCCACGTGCTGAAGTCACGGAACCTGTCAGGAAGCCCACTTCTCCTGAAGCAAACCACTGCTTCATTTACATTTCCTGCAGGTGTCCTGGGGTACCCAGGGGACTCGGCCAAGGGGTCCTAGGTCGCAGCCGTAGATGAGCCTTGCCTGTGACAAGCCCCGGCCACAGGGCGCGGCCTGACTCAGCAGGAGCCAGCCGGGACCCGGCCATGGGGCAGACACTCGCTGCCTGTTCTCCTGCACCGTCTTCAGAATCGATCAGCAATTCCTACATCCGGCAGCGCAGTAACCACGGAGCCTGCGTGCCCTGACCTGCCTCGGGGCCCAGGCCCCGCACGGCTCAAACCCGAGCCCCTTGCCCCGGGGCCCGACACCCGCTGGCTGTCAAGGGTGAGCCCTCCACACAGACCCCCCGGCCGCCCTTTCCAAAGCAGCACCCTGTCCAGCCTGGGGCCCCCACGGCCCTCTCCCTGCAGCCACAGCGGGGACAGTCCCTGACACAGCCGACCTGCAGTCGTGGAGCGTTGACCGCTAGCACACAGACCCCTCCAGCCCAGACAGGCGGCCCCGTCGATGGAGGTGCTGGTGCCATCACCCTGCCCGGCATCCTCCCTCCTGTAACGGCCTCTCCCTTTCCTTCCCAGATCAGGGACCAGGTGCTCCTGGGGTCAAGGCCTGGTCAGCAAGTGGCAGCCCCAGGACTCTGCCAGAGGCACCACGAAAGGGACACCCAGGCTGACACAAGGACTGTGGGCACAGGAAAGCCTGCCTGAGGATGAAGCCGCACGGAAGAGAGCCACACACAGAAACTGGGGAAGAGCTTTGAAGTGCACCTGGACGCAGCCATGCCTGAAGCCTCCAAGAGTTCCGGGTCACGTGAGCCCACTACTCAAGGCTCTTTGGATTTGGTTTTTGGCCCTTGCAAATAAAAGACCCCTGACCTTTGCGGGCTGTGGGCAGCTGAGGGACACGGGTGTGTTCTTGCTCTGGGCCAGAGTCTGACCCACCACCACGCTGCCACAGGTACTTGATTCATGACCAGCCCCTCGCGTGGGGCAGAAGTCAGTTCACGTGTGACAAAGCTGCCTTTGGGGACCACAGGGAGCAAGTCTGCTGGCGCGGCTCCTGCCACTCTCTGGTTGCCCTGCGAGATTTGCCACCCAGGCCGCTGGGGGCCGCAGCTGCTGCCACACAGCCGGCGTGCGGGGTCAAGCGGGGCCAAGGTGGGCATCGAGGTCCAGCGCAGTGGCAAGCACCCGGCTGCCTCACCACCCCAGGACCCACGTGCATTCCTCAGCTCATCCTCAAGCTCGATTCACTGACGGACCCAGCCAGTGGCCCCGGGTGGGCTGGGCCGTCGGCCTCCACCCAGACTTGCGGCAGCCCTGGGCCTCCATTGCCCGCGCTGAAGTTGGGGAGGCTGCCGCACCTGCAGCTCCTGGGTGGAGCGGACTCCGCCTGCCTTCCGGAGCTTCCCTGGGGCCCCACAATTCGGGCCCATCACCGCCCACGGCCTGTGCCCTGCTCCGCAGGGCCGAGCTGAGCGCTGGCTGGGTGCTCAGCCACCGGAGCACGACCACTTTGCCTAAGGGAGCCTAGTAATACCACCGACACAGGATAGCCAACGATGGATTGACAGGAAATGCTCCGTCAGCAGGCCAGAGAAAAAAATTAGGTTGAAAAATTCTCAGGGGGGGGGCGGGGGCTGGTGACTGGCCCCGCCAACCCCCGCGCCCTTCTGAAGGGACCTATCTTAGGGAGGCCTGACTGTACAGCTGGGTCTTGCTGATCGCAGAGCAGTTTCCCCAGCATGCGATTCGAGGTGGAGCTTGGAGGTCTGCAAAGCTCAAGTCTTTCAGATTTGAGACCAGCCTGGGCAACACAGGTAGACACACGTCTAACACACAAAAACAGAAGACTTAGCCGGTGTGGTGGCCGGTGCTGTAGTCCTAGTACTCAGGAGGCTGAGGTGAGAGGACGCTTGAGCCAGAGTCTGAGTGCAGACTGCGCCTCAAAGGCTTCTGACCACGGCGCAGAGCGAAGATGCCGGCCCGGGCTGTGTGGCAGAGCCGCGGCCGGCAGCTGGTGTGCAAACACGCCAGGTCGCAGGAGGAGTGGCAGAGCTCGCCGGCGGCTGGTGTGGCAAACCGGCGCGCGTCACCAGGGAGCTTGGCAAGAAGCCACGGCCCGGCAGGCTGGTGTGCAAACCGCGCAGGTAACAGGGAGGAGTGGCAGAGCCTCGGCCCGGCAGGCTGGTGTGCAAACCGCGCAGGTCACGGGCAGGCTGGTGTGCAAACCGCCCAGGTCATGGGGAGGAGTGGCAGAGCTGCGGCCCGGCAGGCTGGTGTGCAAACCGCGCAGGGCACAGGGAGGTGGCAGGGAGGTCACAGGGAGGAGCGGCAGGCCCGGGCCCACCCCCCACGCTCACCCCAGCGTGTCCCAGACCACGCCCACGCCGTCCCCCCGTAAACACTCGGGGCTCGCCCTGGACACGAGGGATTGGAAAGCGTGCCCACGGCATCGCCGTCACCCCTAAAAGCTGGCCATGCTCCCTCCTCACCACCGGCCGTCCGCGCCCGGCCCCAGGCTCGCGGCGGTCACACCTGCCCCTCCGCTCTGCCTGTCACGGCTGCGCCTCCCGCCTGCTCCCCTGCTCAGCCCACTCGCTGGGGCCACGGCCCTCTGTCCACAGACGCACCACGTGGGACCTGCTGGCTTCCGCCCGGGCTGCCAGACGCCGCTCTGTCCGTGTCCCCGTGATCTGGTGCCATGGTAAGGAGACAACCCGCCTTGCGCTGTTCCCGTCCGCCCACGGGGCTGGGCGCAGCGGCATCTCTGGGCTGTCAGCGGCCACGGACCCTCACGCAGGGCTGCAGAGGGGAGTTAATCTATGGCTCCGTCAGGCCCTGGGCGGAAAACTTTTTAAAAAGAAACTTCTAGGCCGGGCGCGGTGGCTCACGCCTGTAATCCTAGCACTCTGGGAGGCCGAGGCGGGCGGATTGCTCGAGGTCATGAGTTCAAAACCCGCCTGAGCAAGAGCGAGACCCCCGTCTCCACCATAAATAGAAATAAATTAATTGGCCAACTAATATATATAGAAAAAATTAGCTGGGCATGGTGGCGCATGCCTGTAGTCCTAGCTACTCGGGAGGCTGAGGCAGGAGGATCGCTTGAGCCCAGGAGTCTGAGGTTGCTGTGAGCGAGGCTGACGCCACAGCACTCACTCTAGCCTGGGAAACAAAGCGAGACTCTGTCTCCAAAAAAAAAAAAAATAAGAAACTTCTAGAAGGAGGGCATCACCTTTGCTCAGGCTGAGTTTCCTACAGAAGAGAGAGTAAACACTCCATCCTCGTCTGTGCTCACGACTGGTCGGGCTCCGTGGATCTCCCCTGCGTGGTCAGGAGCACGTGGCCGCGGCTTTCTGCTGGGTCACGGCCGGTGCTGGCTCCGGCCCACGCTCGGATGCGTCACCTTCGCCCCGCGGGGGCCCGGGGGTCAGAGGAGCCTGGCTCTCCCCTGTGGACACCGGGTCCGCCCCACCCAGCTGGCTTCCACCCCCAAGTCTTTCTCTGGGACACCCCACGTCACCCCAGGCGCGGGGCCGCATACCCGTGTCAGGGCTCCCCGAGAAACGGCCGCCAGGGGACGGTGTGCCTGCGTCGAGAGGTTCGTGTCCAGACATCGGCTCTGAGACGGGCTGGCTGTGAGGCCTCGGGCCGGATGACCCAGCGGGAGGTGACGCTGCTGTCCTGCGTCCCAACTCCCAGGACGGCAGGCCGGGGGCTCGGCGGGGAGGGAGGGAGGATCCCTTATTCCTTCGCCAACCACAGACTTCGCGCTCGAGGCCGCAGCTGCTGGGCGAGGCCCAGGCCGCAGAAGGCGTCTGCCTTGCTCTGTCCGCGGACCGGACAGGTGGCCGGGCGGGAAACAGCTGCACGCGGCGTCCAGGCGGGGTCTGACCGACCTCCGGGACCCGGGGCCAGCCCAGGTGACGGGGAAACCGGCCGCCAGAGGCGGGGAAAGGACTCAGGCGCCTGGGCTGGCAGGGAACCGGCCGACTCGGCCGTCCAGCCCAGGACGGGCGATGCCCAGAGTCGCCGGGCTGCGCCGCAGCGGCGGAACCTGCCGCCCGTGTGCAGCCGCGCAGGCCCGGGCCATGCAGACACCCATCAGTGCGTCCGGCCACAGGGGCAGGGTCCCCGCAGGCCGAGGTCAAGGTCAGGGTTCCCTGAGAGGCACAAAGACACAGTGCCGAAGGCCGGGCATGGCCACGGGCAACCGGCTCCCAGAACAGCGCCCGGCCCCACCACGCGCCCCTCCCCCACCACCCTGAAGACCCCCACGGGGGGGGGAGGCCCTGAGGACCCCTCAAGGACCAATGCGGCAAGGTCCAGCCTGAGCCCGGCCACAGTGACGCTGACTCCGGCCCCCAGCCCGCCCCGCGCCCCTCCCCTACTGCCCTGAAGACCCCCACCCCGTGGGGACCCCTCAAGGACCGACGTGGCAAGGTCCAGCCTGAGCCCGGCCACAGCGACGCTGACTCCGGCCTCCGGCCCACCCTGTCAGGGCTGCCCAGCAGAGGCCTTGGCCAGACCCCAGGGACCCGACACGGTCCCCCGAGTGGAGGGACTGGCACAGACAAAACACCCGCAAAGACGCAAAGACGCGGCCACATTTCCAAACCGCAATTAATTTCCCTCGCTCATTAGCCGATTTATTCAATTAGCCGAGCTCTGGGAAAAACTCGCATCACGTCACGTGGGCCTCCGTGCACAGCCCGCCCGTCTGGGGGTGTTTACACCGCCCCCCCCCCAGTGAGGAGGAGTGGGGGGGAGCCCCAGGAGGTCCCCTGGCTCCAGGTCAGGACCCCGGAGGCCCAGGTGGCGGGAGGGACTCAGGAGGGGCCCCACCCAGCGCAGGGGGTCACCGGAACCCGCTCAGCCCACGGGAGACACAGAATCCCGGCGGGCTTCCCCGAGGAGGTGTCTGCTGGAATGGGCCCTGCAGGGTGAAGGGAAGGGAAAGGTGCTCTGGGCAGAGGGAGGGGAGGCAGGTGTGTCTGGGGATCCGCAGAGTCCGGCCGCTGCGGAGAATGCGGAAGCCGGCCGGGCGCCATGGCGGGCAGCGCCCCAGCCCTGCTGCCTGCGGTGGGTGTGACATCGCAGAAACCCCGACACGGGGCACGCGTGGATTCGGCCACGATACGCCCTCGGCAGCCCCCCAGCGCCCGGAGACCAGGGCAAACAGACCCAGAAACACAGGGTCCTGCAGCCAGCCCCTCGGAATGTTCCAGAGACTTCCAGCTGGGCTCCCGCCGCACCGGCTGCGCCCACAGACCCTCCTCGGAGGAAACCCGCTCTGGGAGCCATCCCTCCCCAGCACCCCCAGCCGGAAAGTGCCGGCGACGGCTCCAAGTTTCGTTTCTAAGTTTTCAGACCAGATGGTGCAGATGGCTGGGCCGGGGGCGGCTGGTGCCAGGGAGGAGAGAGACGTACGGGCAGGAGGCCGGGGGCGCGCTGGGCCGCATGTCGGGGCTCCTCCCCGGACAGACGCACCAGGGGAGACAGCCCCAGCCCTGCCGCGGCCCCGGCCCCCGCGCCAGGGCGGGGCGAGAGAGAAACACCCCAAACTGCAGTGAACTCCCTTCACTCCCCAGCCGCTAGTCAACTCGGCCGCAGGCAGAGAGACGCAGCATTTCCAGACCTCGTCCCGCGGGGAGGCTCCTCCGTGGCCAGCGCCTGCCCCGCCCTGCACATGGCAGCCTCCTGGCACACTCGTGCCCGTTTTAGAGATGGGTAAACTGAGGCTCAATGAGGGGCAGGGATCCCCAGGCACAACCCCAGGAGGGGACGCTCCCTGCCTCTCGGGCCTCGTGGTCCTGCAGGGCGTCCCTGGTGGCCTGAGGTCCTCTCAAGGTCCGGCCTCCGGAGCTTCCAGGGCAGGGGCTGGGCACCCTCAGACCCAGACCATGGCACAAGTGCGGCCACTGCC